AAATGACCACCAGATTATTCTTGAAATGAGTCCCGTTGTCTGACTCAATTCGTTCTGGAGTGCCATGTCTCCACAGGACTTGTTTCTTGAGATTTAGAATGGTATTCTGGGCTGTTGCATGTGGTACTATCCAGTAGTCGCTTCCACCATGGTAAGTACATAGTGTTTACCTTGGGGTGTCTGTGGCAATGTAATGTAATCAACTTGCCTTGTTTCTCCGTATCTATACTTGTCCCAGTGTCCACCATACCATAGGGGCTTCAACCTTTTGGCCTGTTTAATTGCAGCACAGGTTTCACAGTCATGGATAACCTGGGAAATAGTGTCCATGTTTAAATTCACCTCTCAGTCTCGTGCCCATTTATAGGTGGCATCTCGGCCCTGATGTCCTGAAGCATCATGAGCCCATCGAACTAGGAATAATTCTCCCTTTTGCTGCCAGTTTAGGTCTACTTGTGACACCTCGACTTGTGCAACGTGGTCTACTTGTCTGTTATGAGTGTATTCCTCATTAGCTCGACCCTTGGGCACATGGGCATCTACATGGTAGACTCTCACATTCAGTTTTTTCACTCTGGCAACGATGTCTTGCCACAAATCAGCAGCCCAGATGGGTTTTCCTCTACGTCTCCAATTCATTTTCTTCCACCTGTCTAGCTATCCCCACAGGGCATTGGTTATTATCTACAAATAAGTGTAGAGGTAAAGCCTTGGTCATCCTTCTCTTTCTACGATGTCTAAGGCCAATTGGACAGCTTTGAGTTCCACAAACTGACTTGATTTGCCTTCACTTTCAGTGTTTTCCGCCACACGTCGGGTGGGACTCCACACAGTTGCTTCCTACTTCTGGTTCCTTCCTACAATGCGGCAAGAACCGTCAGCGAAAAGGGCATAGTGTGTCTTTTCATTTGGCAGTTGATTATACGGTGGAGTTTCTTCAGTTCGGCTCACTGGCTCTTCTTCTTCTTCATTTGCCAGACTGAAGTTCCCACCTTCAGGCCAATTGATTATAATTTCCAAAATTCCAGGGCGATTCGAGTTTCCCATTCGGAAACATTGCGTAATCAAAGCCATCCCCTTGTTCCACGTGGCATCGGTGGCATGATGCGTAGAGGGCACCTTACCCTTGAACATCCAACTCAACACTGGTAATCAGGGTGTTAGGAAGAGTTGTGTTTCAGTACCAATCACTTCTGAGGCTGCTCGTATACCTTCATATGCCACTAAGATTTCTTTTTCCATAGGGGTGTAATTGGCCTCAGAACCTCTGTTGACTTAATAGAGATGGTGCTGACTTCAGGTTGAGTCTGGATCCTGATATCTGTGGACTCAATAGGGGCATCATTTGTTTCAGGTGACATAGTTTGACTTTCTACCTCTGCCCTGGGCTTTTGATAGTGATCTATGGCAGCTCTATAAGCTGTCGCTAGACCCCAGTATAAAGCAAGGAACTGCGTGTTTGGGTCATCGTATGAAAGACACCCTTCGGCTAAACAATGTGCCATCTCGTCAGGATTAGACACTTGTTCTGGCATGAAGTCCCAAATAATGGGAGTTGTCACACACCCTACCAGTTTACCAAAATTTACCCATGCTCCTTGCAATCCAGAAACTGGCCTTTCCAAGACCCTTCCCAAAGTTCCAGCGAATCCTCTAGAGGTCTGGCCTTTTCTACAACACGGAAAACAACACAACACCATTCTTCCAGTTTTAAATAACTCTTTCATCGCCTTCACCAGGACTAGGATTGTTACTAAACAATTTAAGTAAAAATTGTAGCCAATTGTAATGATGGGGATCTCCTTTAGCAGGCCTTTGATGTCAAAATCAAGGAAAGTGAAATACTCCTCCCATTCATTCCAGTCAAGGAAAGTGAAATACTCCTTTCATTCATCCCAATCAAAGAAAGGGACATACTCCTCCCATTCATCTCCAGTTGGGCGTTTCCCTACAGGATAGCCCAAAACAGGCACAAATATAGCTAATACAATGAAACAAGTAGTTAGAATAGCCATTGTTATATTATTCTTTCTCTCTGTTCTTAAACAATAGGTTTGTTTATATAAACAAGTCTCTCTTGGTAGTTTTCCCAGTAACTGTTCCAAAACAAACCGGGATAACTAAAACAATCTCCCCGTACCGGTCACCAAAAAATCTGTGACAGTTTGGACTTGGTTTTTTGCCAAATGCCTGAAAGTCACGACAGCAGCCCCCTTCCCCCTCCCTTCTTCCCTTCGGGCAAAGGAAAAAAAAACCTATAAAAATTAAAGAACCCAAAGTCAAGTTGCTTATATAAAAATATATATATTTACGTAAATTACAGTTATATACAGTTAAGATGCTATATACACAGTAAAAGGGGATTCACCCCCCAAAGGGATAGGGAAAGGGGAAAAAAGGGACAAAAGGGGACAAAAAGTGACACCAAACAGGTATACGCTATCAAACTCAAGAATTATAATAATAACTAGTAAAACAGATTTCACTACGTTTCTTAGAAAAGTAGTATTGGTAGACACGGTCAGCACTTCCCGAAACCTCCACATGGCAGGACAGTGGACGCTGCAGGCCTCAGCCTTAGATAAGCGAGACCATCGCAAGGACTCACTGTTCCCGAACCTTGCCGGAAGAGAAGAGAGAGAGGTCTCTAATCTCCAACTTATTTATACTCTGGTTTATGTAAAAATCGTATGGAATACTGGGTACATGGCCACTTCCTTGGTTACAAACTGGTCACCAGGAAGGTCTAGACTAAAACCATCACAGTGGAAAGATGTATATAGTCACTGCCCACTGGATCCAGCGATGAAATTAGGTAGTCACAGCTTCCATATCTGTTGGTTCAAGTGGTGGTCTTGATCCCCCCCCCCCCCCAAAACTCTATGTTATGAGTTAGTATACACTTCTAGCTCAGGTGGGTATTTTACAATGGATAGTTTCACAGGACATGTCACTGATTCTCTAATATCTCCTAAGACAGTTGCAGATGCCTTATGTGTCAGCATCAGTCATGGTCCAACATTTGAGATGCATAGCCCAGGCTAGATGTGAAGTATCTTCCTCGGAAGGAATTTTGCATCAGAGTTATCATGTAAAGGGAGGACATTGGCATGATAAGAGGGATTATCCCACCTTGCAGCATTTGCCTCTTCTTAACCTCTTTCCTTATCTGGAAATCCAGTTTGTAGCTTCCGGTATGCATCTGCACCCAGGATAGTTGGACAATTGCACCCCCTTATCTGATTTGAAGGTCCTTTGGCAGTATTCAGGGAAGGGTGGGCTTTTCTGGGTGGGCAGTTGCTTCTTTTCAGTTTGCAAAATTTTTTTGGTGATTTTAGAATGTGTAACTCATTAACTGTTCCAATCTCTGACATGATTTACACATTCAATAATTTCTTTTGTTGTTCACTTTAAATCTTTGTGGGCATTGCTTTTCATATAGTGGACAGAAGGCCAAAAGGCAGAAGAAAAGGAAGAAATAGCATGAATCTTTTTCCAATGCAATGCAGTTTTCAAAAACCCTACAGTAAAACAGTAAACATCAGATGAATAATTGATTGATGGGTCATAACAGGATCTGAATAACTAAAATCACATTTCCTAATATAAACAAAGTTACAAACATCAGGATTTAATACTGACACAAACCTAATTCTCATTAGTCACTGCCCCCACCCTGTGAGTAATTGGAGTGTTCTTTAATGGGTAGTGGGTGTGAGGGATTCTACAATAATGTGTCTGTTGAATGTGGGCTCAATATGCCTTGAAATTAGACATAAAATTACACATCAGTTCTTATGCAAATGCATTGAGTTACCTGGGAGCTGGTGAAAGGCTTTCTTGTATTCTCTTTGTTGCCTTAAAATCGAGAGCAGAAAAAACTCCAGGCAAATTTAGTAGATAAGATAGAGAACAGCTCTTTAATGAATGCCTTCTGGTCCAAGGAGTACGAAAAGGCATGCACTCCATGTGTCCAGGGGTTCCACAGTTTATGGTCTGATCTGAGAAATACCTGCCCCCCAGATCCTCCCCAAATCTGCCTCCTGGCACACCTCCCTGGTATCACTGGAAATTGAGTCAGAAGTCCTAAGATCCCTTTCTTCCTCATCTTCCTCTTCTTCACTGCATATACTGTCTTTGGAGCTTCTCCAAGGTTCCAGGATTGAAGATTGCTTTGACTATGATGGTATTTTGTTGTTCAGGCCTGGGGTGCATATGTTCTTACACAGAATGTGTTCACTGTAGTCCTGCCTTGAAAGGAGCCTAAACAAGCCTAAAGAATTTAGAAAATTTGATATGAAATGGGGGAATAGGGTTTGGTAAGTGTTAACTAATATTCTAAAGTGTGACAGACTATACAGCTACATTAAAATCTACAAAAAGCTAAAAATCCTAAAAATTCAAAGGCATCACCTTCATGTGACATTTTCTTTTCTTTTGTCCAGATTTAGTTTCACCTGTTGATATTTTTGAGATATTTAGCCAAATTATCATAAATTTGATGCCTTATGAGGTTAATGCATATAATACATATTTGTATGATTCCAAATATGCATAAATTCTTGTACTAACTGAAAGGCTAAATTTGGTTGAGTTCCTTGATTCTCAATTGATTGAGGTAGAATTATACATACATAAGATAAAAAGTAAAAACTTTCCCCAAGCCATTATTTTTGATAAAAAGACAAAATAAACTTGGTAAAAATTAAACTAGCAATACATAAAATGACTTGTCTTATACAATCTTACCAATGAGTTGTTCATGATAAAAACACAAACAAGTCAACAATTATTAATAAACTGATAATATAAGGAATTATGGAAGCAGTTATCTTTTCTACCCTCTGTGGCAATCAGAGAGGAGACACAAACACCTTAAAACAATGCTTGTGGTAAACTTTTTACATATTACAAAACTACCAAGGCAAAACATATGCAAGTAATCAATGCAGCAAAGAACAGTGTAATTCTTCAGTCCTTTTGCCTCTTCATTTTCTCAGGGAATACCTGTAAGAGAAGAGAAGAGAAGAGAAGAGAAAAGAAAACTCAGTCCTCCTTGGACCAGTTTTTGTAAAAAGGAACTATTTATTCATCCAACTCCTTATCTGGCATGATGCCACGAGTAGTAATAATGGAGAAGTCTGGAACATGTTTTTTCCAAAATAACAATAAACCCAAAGCATGATGGAGCTCCTTTTTACTCCTCAGCAACTTTACTTGCTCTAGGGTGGTCAAGGTTTCAGAGGAAATACACACTGCTCCTCCTTTCCATGATATACCTAGGAACTTAATATCAGAGGAGAAAAATTGTACTTTTTTTGTGAGAATTTGAAGTCTCAGACTTTCCAAGTGGGTGATAGTGTTTGTCTGAGTCTGGTCCACTGTGGTGACCTCAGCAATATGGGCAATCAATTCAGTTTTGTTATGTACAGCAGCCATTTTTGAGTCAGTGTCAGCATTGAGGTAACTAACTGTCAGTTGCCACTGCCCATCAGGTTTATGGACAGTTCATACAGGAGAACTATATGGTGAGTGTATAGGGACAACCACCCCTTGCTCCTGCAACTCTGCAATTTCTGGAGCAATTCCTTCACGGGTTCCTAAAGGGAGTGGGTGGGGGTTTACATTTGTTGTTTTGTGGAGACAGACTTGGAGCAGTTTGTAACAGACAGACAGAGGGAGATGGGACACCAAACACCCATTCTTGCCTTCTGTCATCTGTCCAGGTGCATCCCTTTAATAGATCCAACCCCAAGATGTTAGTCATTAACTGTTTCAGTCTGACAAAAGGAAAGGTTCCTTCCATGCATCATGCCACTGACACTACATGGAGTAAGTGGGTTGCCTTGATCAGGCAGCACATCAGAATCAGGAACCCTAATTGCCCTGGGATCTTGGAGATAATTACAAATTGGTCTGAGGGTGAGAATTTTGGTGTGGCAGATGAAGACGAAGAACAGGTGGCACATGCTGAGGAAGCTCCACCATACAACCAACCACCAGAGGACAAAAAGCTCTACACTCTTTTCACTGAGGGTTCCTGTCGCATTGTAGGGATGAACCGGAAATGGAAAGCAGCCGTATGGAGCCCCACACAAGTTGCAGAAGCCACAGAAGGACAAAGTGGATCAGGTCAAGTTGCAGAGCTCAGAGCCATCCATCTGGCTTTGGATATTGCTGAACAAGAGAAGTGGCCAAGACTTTACCTCTACACTGACTCATGGATGGTGGCCAACACTCTGTGGGGGTGGTTGGACAGATGGAAGAAGGCCAATTGGCAACGTAAACCAATCTGGGCTTCCAAAATGTGGTGAGACACTGAATCATGAGAGTCTGCCCTGTAGAAGCACGTGCCCAAAAGCCAAGTAAATGAAGAACATTGCAACAATGAACAGGCAGACCGAGCTGCCCAAGTCAACATGTCGCAGTTAGACCTTGATTGGCAGGACAAGGGAAAGTTGTTCCTAGCTCCATGGGCCCATGATGCCTCAGGTCATCAGAGAAGAGACCAAGGGGTGTATTTAACCATGGATGCCATTTCCCAGGTTATCCATGACTGTGAAACATGTACTGCAATCAAGCGGGCTAAGAAAGTAAAGCCCCGTGGTACGGTGGGTGATGGAACAAGTATAGATATGGGGAGGCCTGGTAGATTGATTACATCACACCTTTGCAAACTCGCCAAGGTAAGCTCTATGTGCTCTCCATGGTGGAAGCAAAAACTGGATGGTTGGAAATGTACTCTGTGCCTCATGCCACTGCCTGGAATACCATCCTGGGCTTTGAAAAGCAAGTTCTGTGGTGACATGGCACCCCAGAATGAATTGAGTCAGACAATGGACTCATTTCAAGAATAGCCTAATTACCACCTGGGCTAAAGAGCAGGGTATTGAGTGGATATATTGTATTTCTGTCATGCACCAGCCGATGGGAAGGTTGAACGGTGTAATTTACTGTTGAAAACTACTTTGAAGGCATTTGGTGGGGGGCCTTTCAAGCACTGGCATCAGCATTTAACAAAGGCTACGTGGTTAGTCAACACTAGAGGGTCTGTCAACTGGGCCAACCCTGCCCAATCAGAGCCCCTTCACACCGTAGATAAAGTCCCCATATTGCACCTGAGAGGTACAGTAGGAAATGGTTTGGAGTACTGTCTCAAGCAAAGGCAAACCCATTTGGGGGATTGTTTTTGCCCAAGGACTGGGTTGCACTTGGTGGGTGTCTCAGTTTAAATGAGACACAGGTGTTTTTCTGAGGATGAGTTATGACGAAGACCCAAACTCCTCCCTCTAAGTAATTGTAAATCCAAAATTAAGAGGCTCAAATTGAGGGGAAAAAAGGTGTGGAAAAAGGAGAAAAAAATAACAGCCCTTTATTAAAAGATATATGTGTATTGGCAGAAACAATGAAAGAAAACAAGTAAACAATACTCCTATACCCACAAATAATCCCCTTCAAAACAAACCAATAAACAAAGAAAAAGGTAAACAGTCCAGTTTGTGCCCTTTGGTGCAATTTTAACCACAGTCAACAGGGGGCACTGTTGGATCACCAGAGATGCAGAGTTTGTAGTGTCCTGTGCCAGTCAACAGGAGGTGTTGTTGGATCACTGGAGATGCAGATCCTGCAGTACTTTGTGCTGGTCATCAGGGGTCGCTGTTGAATCACTGGTCATTACTGCGTGAGGGCGACACCCTCCTGGGTGTATTGGAGAAACCAAAAATGCATTTCTTTCCCCCCCCCCCCCCCCTTCCCCACTGGGAAAGGGGAGAGAGAGGAGAGAGAGAAAAAAAAGGGTCCTTCCCAACGAGAACTCACTCTGTCCTGCTGGCTGAATCGTGTGGTATAGTTTTTCCCTCTCCCTTTGATGTGCACAAGAACTGTTGCCAAGAAAGAAAAAAATGGGAACGGAGGAGGGGAAAAAACCTCTTGAAACAGTTCCTCTCCGATGAAAATCCAAGCAGAATCCACAGCTGACAGCCAGGTTGAGAACAAACCCACTCCGAGCTCCTACTCCGACCTGGTTCAGCTCCAACAGCAACCTGAACCAGTTTCCCAGGAGACGAGAGGAAAAAAAAAGTAAAAAAAAAAGTAAAAAGGAACTCCTCACCCTTCCCCAACACAAGATTATGAGGGCCATCAACTAGGAATGTGGTCTTACCAGCCACTTCTTTTGTGTTACTTAACTGCCCATTCAACATCCCCTTCACATAGTGGGCAGGGGGAAGGGAAAAATTCCTGCTTAGTTTTTAAGAACCGGTAAAACCATGACAGTGGGTAATGAAGAAGGACAGGGAAATTCGATGTTTACCTCCTCAGTGGGAACTAATTTTTGAGTAAACTGTCCACAACACTGTGGTTGTATGTATATATTTGTAAATGTGTATTTTCTTGGACTAATGTATATATTTATATAGTTGGAAAGTTCAAATCTGATATAGCATGATGGTATGGATAAATTTGGAGTGTATCATGTTATGGTTTAGCAAAACCAAGATTTTATTTGCTGAGTTTTTTCGTATCATCATGTGGTGTTGGAAGGCGTGAGGGGTACAACCTCCTCCCCCCACATGCAGGGCAGGGTAGGGGTGGAGATCCCTGTGAGAAGTCCCACGAGAACTTAGGAAGGATAAAACTTCTGGCACCACCAGAATTCACTCTCTCTGGTTCCAGTAGAGGTACAAAGGCAGGAGTGCCATCGGGTTTCTTTCTCTCTCTCCTGCCATGTTTTTTTCTTTTTTTTGTTCTGACTGTTCACCTCCCGCCCCCCTCCTCGCTGCCCATGGCAGCAGCTTCCATGGCTGCCGCCCCCCCCGCCACTTCCCATGCTCCCTGCTTCTGCCCTTACTGCCTCGGAGTCATGCTGCTGCCCGTGCCACCTTGGAGTTGTTCCACTGTCTCTGCCTAGAGCCACCGCTTCTGTGTCACTGCCACTGCTGCCAGTGCCTCTGCCCAGAGCCACCGCTTCCACGTTGCTGTCGTTGCTGCTGCCAGCAGTAGTTCTTCTCTTGTAATGATAGTATGTCTGACTGCCCTCTTGTTGCATGAAGTAAGATCTTTTGGGGAGAAATGCTTACCTCCCAGAGTATATTCATTCCTAAAAAAGTGGCGTGTAGTAGTGGGATGTACTAGTACTACTGGAGTGATTAATTTTGCAGCCCTACTGTTCAATGTAGTCATATAAATGTTGCAGCAAAACCCAGTTCAAAATAAATCTTGCATGCAAGCAAATGTGTGAGAATTGTATTCCATGTCAGACCTAAACTGGAGAGACCATGTGTGTTTTGGTAATCATGATTGCACATGCTGTTTTGTGGTTCTGTAGGTAAAGCTGGTAGGTTTGAATCTTTTTCTTTCCTTATGGAGCATTTAATTCTTTTACCTTTGCACAAAAACAAACCCCACAGAAAGCCTGAGTGAATAAAACAAGCAGAGTTTGAGCCAATTGCATATCAGCTATTTCTACTGTACCTGTGTTAAAAACTGTGGCTAAATCTCTTCTAACTTTTTCTACTATTAATGTAAGCTAGTGTTACAGTTAACAGTTGATTTGGCTTCTGAAGTTTTTGCTGTTCTATGAAAAAGCCAATGATAACCAGCTCCGGGATGGACTTCCTACCACTAGCCAATGGTATTCGCTTCTGTGATAACATATTTAAGAACAGAGGAAGAGAAGTCTGTGTCACAGAAGAAATTCCAGCTCAGAGGAGAGCAGAGGAGAACATGAGATAGCAATGTAGACTCCAAGGTCAGTGTAGCAGGAGGGGGGAGGAGAGGCCCAAGGACCCCCCCTCTCCCCCTCCAGCATGGGAAAGACTTAAAGCTGAGACCCCCTGCCACCTGTGGAAGATTACTGAGGTGAGGAGACCTCCACCCTGGCAGCTCATGGAGGAGCCTACACTGGAGCAGGTGGATGCATGAGGAGGCTGAGACCCCATGGGAGGCCTAAGATGAAACAGAGTCCTGCTGGAGAAGAGCAGAGGGGGGAGGAGGGGGGAAAAGCAGCTTTCAGTGTGTGTTTGAAATCCAGACAGAGTCAAAACCATGGCAAGACTGAAGAAGGTGTCCCAATTTAGCCTTTTTTGAGGAAAATAAGACAATTATCTGAATTAATGCATGGCAAAGGTGGTTTTGTACGGGATTTCAGGTTCTGAGTCAGCCTCATACAGATACCTGCTTGTAACCTTGAGTTCAGCATTAAATTAAGAGTTCAGTGTTCAGGACATGTCAGCATTTCCTTCCTTGTCACTTCTCTTAGGCAGCTCACAAGGCATTATTGAGAAGGGATATATGGAGAATTCTGGGTTTAGACCTGGAGTTTCCCAAGGTGGGTCCCTACGTCAGACCTGACTCCTGAGATGCACTTCCCAAGGACCAGACTTGTAATGCTCACCCATGCAATGCTTATCATGTCATTCCTGTTCTACCAGTGTCCAGAGAATCAAAGCATGAGCTATTAATTAAGTTTCTTCTGGAGACCACAGTATCTTTTTTACTTGGGTAAACTTCTGTGCTTATCTTTTTGGAGGACACTTGTATTACATATAGGATAAGGAGGTAGCCTCTGTGCTATGTATTTATGGGGGAAATACATGAGAAAATCTTTTTGTGTAAAAGGATGATGACTTTAAAATCTATCCTTATAAACACTTTGTCATTGGCTGAAGTGTTTTTTGGGTTCTTGATTTTGGGGTTTTTTTGCATATTTTTACATTTTTATGGTGAAATTTTTACATCAGTTTGCTGTAGTCAATTGTCTCTTGGATGAAGCTGTTTTTTAAAGACACCATTTCCCATTGGAAGCAACTTAATTGTCCTATGATATGTCAGATCAGTCAGTGTTTAATTTGCAAATTGAAAATCTTACTGTTGTGTCTTTTTGTATTAAACTACTGAACTGTAAGGGTAATGAACTAATGAGGCAGACTTCCGTGATCATTAATCTGATATTACACTAGCTGTGTTTATAGCTAACCCTTCACAGTAAAAAGAAAATGGACAATGTTTTACCTTATATGTCGCAAAACGCTGGGAGACACGAGCAGAAAATTGCTTTAAGTCTCGTTTATTAAAGATTTTACAAAGGTTTATATGGTATTTTTGCGAACAGCATGCAATGCTCGCATTGGTCAGAATGAGGGTGGTAGGTTGTTTTCTCTACAAGGATTTGCTATAGATACAGAAACCTATTTTTCTACACATCTTTAGAAAACAAAAATCAGAAGGCTACACTTTCCCAGAGAACAGAACACTTTCCCAGAGAACAGAACTCAAAACAAGATTTGTTATGTTTCATTCTAATTAAAGGTATCAGTGTCCAAATCATAACATCTTCCTGCTGGAGACAGTTCTTCCTTTAATTTACCAGGACAGCTGGGCTTTGTTTTCTTGCATTCCTTCGTTATCAACCTGTAGCAGCTGCAAGGCATCCGAGCAGTCATGTCCACGGTCAAGCAGCCACTGCTTTGCAAAGCTCTCCACACTTCCCCCTTCTTTTTTAACCACAACAAGAGAGGAGTTAGTTGCATTTAAGGCCTTGGAGATCCTGGATTGTAGAAATTGTAAAAAACAAGGAAGAAACAGTAAAAGTAATACTATAACAAGGAAAATCACAATACCATGCTTAACTAAGTCTAAAAGCCAGCCAGAGATGCCCCAGCCAGTAAGCCATTTGTCTAACCAACTA